AAACCGCCAAGCTAATATTATTATTATGTAAAAAGTAATGTATACATATTATATAGAGACTTGTTGTTGAATATTATAGAACGAGTGTGTAGTCGTAAAGAAAGTACCAATAGTAATATACTAATATCTTAGAATTCAGGGATGGCGAACCTTTTTGTACCAGCGTGTCAAATAAAAATGTTGGTTGGATTTTGTTTTCCTTGCGTGTCAACTAGTTTGATGATCCTTCTTTAAACTTAAAAATTCCTACATCAGTCATCAGCTATGGTTTGAATGATAAAAACACAAGTCAAATATTATATTATCAAACAATTTAAATATAACCTTTGAATTACTATAAAAATAACACTCACCAATAATGAAATCTGCACAAATTTGCACAAACACATGAAACACATTCGACTCGACGAATGAGTAATGACTAACGCTAGCCGTGGGCCAGCTACACGTTATATCCGTTATATAAAATATATATACCTAATAAAGTTCTTATAGAAAAGTAATAAAATTAATAGTTGTTGAGCAGTGTAGATATTCAATTCAATGCGTTTAGGTGTAATACCATAAACTTAATATTTCATTTTCGTAATCTCAATATATTTTAGTCTACGTCCTACGACCAGTGGTTTTTCCAGTAACTTTTTACACAGCTGAGTGTGTCACTAAAATAGTGAGTGTCATAGGTTCGCCATCTCTGTCTTAGATCGTATTATACCATATGGATGGAGCCACAGCGTATCACATCAGTACAAAAAAACCGTTGTCGATAATTCAGCGACAAGTCTCCGGACTAAGTGGTCGATGTGCACATGCGCATACTGACAACAGACCGTTTATGTGTGTGTAAAAAATGATATCATAATTCATAATACAAGAGCGGCTCACGTTTTTCTCATCTTCGTGTTTCTCCACTGTATTCTCGTTCTCATTTTCACCGTTATATCATTTTGTTTTAATTTGGAGTTTTCCCGAAGTTTTTCCACGACTTAAGGCGCTATCTTCACTTGTGTTACTAATCGTCAACGGAACCTTAATAATAAAAGTTGTGAAAAAAGAGTACGTTAACCCAAAAAAGGCAATGCCGTCGATGAAGATATAAAGTAGCGGGAATATCTCTTTCTCTGCGTTGTTCTCGATATATTTTTTTCTACAATATCATTTCCCGTGAGTCGTTTTGATCATCCTTCTCTATAGGTTTTGTCTCAGTAAAAGTTTCATCTTTGTCGCTGGCATTCTCTTATACGGTTAGCGTACCCTTTTTTCACAACTTTAATTGTCAAGGTTCCGCTGTCGATCAATAACACAAACGATGATAATGCCCAAGTCGTGGAGAACATCTGGAGAACATCAACCCAAAACAGAAAGATAATACTGGTGAAAATGAGAACACAGCAGAGAAGCACAAAGAAAGACTTGAGCCGCTCTATAGTGTCATGATAAAATTTTTTACAGACCCACAAACGCTCGGTCAGTGTACGACAACAGTGTTGCCACACATTACACCAATAATTATTGCACTGGAGACTGGAAGAAGAGTAAAGACACCGTCCTGCAATAAAATCAAAAGTGATCGAACACATTTTTTTCAAAAATAATTGTTTTCTATTTTTTTGTAAAAAAAAAAAAAAAAACAACATAAAGGGTAAACAAAATTTGTATAATGGTGCGCGTATATTATTATCATTGAGTGTATTTAAAAATTAAAAATATAATATAATACATATTTTACTTATAATGAACTGTATTATTCTCGTACGGTAACTCAGAAAAAAAAAACACTTACGTTTAAAACTAAGTCGACCGATATCTAAATAGGTAGTATATGTTATTAATCGATTGTAAATCAACCAATGTGCACATAATATAATATTAGGTATACTTATTTAATATAATATTTTATTTATGGTTAACAATTATTACAATATCATCATAGGTACCTAAAATCTAAATATTTTTTTATTTTACGTCAAACTTTGTTTATGGTAAAACAATATATACCTACCTACCTACCCACAATGTATTATGTTTGCGACGATATGGTAGGGTAGGTATCATTTACATTGTAAAACATCACAGACCATTTGATATGCGTATATAATAATTATAATAGTAATAAAAATAATTATGTATCGTAACTATTATTGTAACATATTATTGTGATGTATAATTGTGTGACTATGTACTGACTAGTATGATATAAATTATATAATTCAACGCCGTCGGTGGCCATACACGCGTGTTGTTTGACGATTATAACAATAATAATATTATTATATTATACAAAGATTACGGACTCGTGTTATATAAATAAATTAAGGTTGGTCAAACTCTTTGGCCAACGGTCGTCGGCATTATGACGTATATATTATGTATAATAATAATAATAATACCTAACAATAACGTTTTATGTTATTTGAAATAGCAGCACAGAAAATGAAGACTTTTTTCCATCGTCAAAACCCAACGAGTACACGTACATAATAGGTAGAATAATAGGAAAGTAGGTATACAATCAATTATCAAATAAGATAAAATGTACATATTATTATACAGTGATCGAAGGTTATAGGGAGACGCCGACATTAAATTTTTTCATTTCCGAATAATATTTCACAACCCGATTTGATTTGTTTTGAAAAACGACATCTTACGACCAAAATAATTTATACATATTATATAATATAATAACATTATATACCCCCTTGCATGCAGGTATACTATATTATAATAATATATTTCATATTACACTTTAAACAAATATAACTGCAATTTTATTTCACTTTACACTGTGATTTAAGACGCGAAGTGAGAGTTTCTACTATGTTTAATTGTGTTTCTGCTCACTGCACTATTTCGACCACTGCAATACAGCGCGATAAGACAATAATAATAATATCATAATTACAAAATAATAAAATAATAAAATGTGGCAAACGGTGCGATCGCTATATATGAAAAAAAATTATACGCAAAACAATATAATATAAATCATAATAATACATCGATTTATGTAGAATACAATGCGACAGATTGCTATAATAATATTACATTACACATGTTGTTGGATAAATTAGAGAAAATTGGGGGGGGGCTTAAGGGGGCTAAGCTCCACCAAAAGTATGTCAAGCTCCCTCCTTTTTCAGTTTTGTGGGATCGAAGCCCCCCCTCTCACATTGATGTTAATCATGTTAGCCTCCCCTAAAATTGTAATGGATTTCCGCCTAAGTGTTGGAAACTATTATAATGTATCTACGAGTATGCATATAATAATATATATTAACATATATGCATAGAACTCGTGCAGGGCGCCACATAATAAGTATTTATATTTTTTTTGGGGGGGAGGGAGTGGGAGGGACTTAAAAAATATATAATATATAATATAATATTATAACTTATGATTCTGGGTGGGTGATTGTTTATCGGAAAACACTAACATAATTTCATAAGCTATTAACGTTTTTGAAAATATTTTTTCAAATGATTTCAAATAGTCAAAAAAACATTTAAGAATTCTATAATTTTTTTTTTATGGTATTACTATTATACTACCATCTCTTACGTTTTTAATTTTTTAATTACAACATGCATTTTTAATTTCTTATTGCAAAGCAGAATATTTTTCTGAATACTTCGGTGTATTAAAATCGAATTTCGAAAGAATGGCTATTATACGAATAGGTTAGCTACCAGCTAATAGTTATAACTTTAGTTAACTTGTCCAAAATTTGATTTTTATGAACAAAATACTCTGAATATAATTTTGCTTAGGAATATGAAATTACAAATACATATTGACATATTGTAATAAAAATAAAAAAACTTGGACAACGATGAAGACGAACAATTGTTAAAAATATTTTTAAAGTTTTTATGGAACGACTTAAAATATTATGAAAATCTTGTTAACAGTTTTTGAAATAATGAATGTTTTATTTAAAATAATGTTAAAATAGGTAAGTGGTTCATTATTGAAAGTAAAACATTCCACCTGGTGGGCGGTATCGGTATACAACAATTATTTGACTATCGTTTTGAACGATATTATTGTATATTATAGCGAATGGTTTATTTAGCTACGTGTTTTTTAAATATATTTTTGTCGCGGTCGTGTACAGTAATAATAATAATTATAATAATAACAATAATAAACCGTAATCTCTGAGGCATCCTATATGTACAAGACGATTCACCAAGCATGCTCATCCGCTTCCTTCTTCAATAATGTAGTTATTCAAAATCTGATTTGGAACTTTTAAATTTACTTAAAGATCATAATATTTTCAAATTATCGGGTTCTAAAACTTAAAAAATGTCCTGTAGTGATACTAACTTTTATTTTTAAAATCAGAACATCCATTTTTACCGTAATTCAATTAGTGGATAATTGTTTTTTATTAGTGTATAACCTAGGTACTACTACTACATATATTTTATAGTTTCTCAGTTATTACTTATTAAAATGTTTATATTAATGATAATAAATCGTCCTTAATAAAAATAGTTTTATAATTAATTTAAAGTAAAATGTGTAATATTGTCTATTGGATCTTTTATTTATTATAATTGTACCATTTTCGTAAATTATCAATGTTGATAGGTTAGAATTCTGATTCTGATACGTCAAATATTTATCCGTCAAAAGTATCCACTAAATGATTTGCAGTAGAAAAGGGGGCTTTTTGTTTGTGAAACAGAAGTTTGTACATATACAGGTCACTCCTTTCCTTAAGTATAGTACACAAAACCTCTAAAACCTCTTAAACCTCTAAAAAGATATGGTCTTTAAGACGTATATATTTAACAAATAATCCAAAGACTTTCAACTGGTACCCAACTGCATTGTTGAAGAAAAAAGGGGGCCAGCATGCTTGGTGGATCAGCCTGTAATGTATAAAATATTATATTCATATAACAATTTTTTATATAATAAATTATGCGAACGAGTGTAATATTTTATAATATTGTAGGTATAAATAATTATAATATTTGTTCCGATATTATGTGGCGATTTTCGTGAGCGCCAATAGCGACAGGGCCGCGGCAACGGTCGCGGCGCTGGGTGCGTTTGGCGCCGGCCCGGCGCCGGTCTGGGCCAGGCCCTGTTGGTTGGGCTCGTCGATCACGTTGCTCATGTAACTGGTGGTGTCCGGTTTCTTGGTCGGTGGCTGAGCAGACGGAGAGACGCCTCCGCCACCGCCTCCGCCAATGCCTCCGACACTCGCGGCCGACACCTGCCACGTCGGCGTGCTGAACGACGCGGCTTGAACGGTATGGCCACGGCTGGTTCTCTCGCTGCCCGCGGCCGCCGTCGATGGTCCGCCGGACCAGCCTCCGGTGTTCTGCTCCGGTCTCCAATCGTCCTGTCGTTTCGTCGCTGCATGTAAGGACACATGGAAAAAAAAACAAGAAAACGTCATCAATACGTCACAATTCGTCGTCGAGGTTAGGACTTTTAAAAAAAAAAAACTATAAAAAATTCATTAAACAACGCACTGTACATTCTGAAAGATGCACCACTAAGAAACCGTATGAATTCGACCAAATATCTTCGGTATAAAATGCACTGTAAGTATAGGTATTTACCCCCTTCATAATTAATGAATATAAAAATCTATAAAGTGTAAAATTAATTTAAATTTAAGATATTATTATTAATTTAATACGACATGCGTACTGAACAACGTGTAGAATAGTTACAAGACGAAAATTAAAAAAAACTCATAGGATTTATATCAAAAATTGAAGGAAATTACTGAAGGAAATCAATTTTTTGAAAATTTAAAAAAAAACTAATAAATACAAAAATACCATCAGATTTCAAAACAAAAGTTTCAAATTGAAATTTATTAAAACCTTATTTTAACATTTGTGTTAAAGAAGCTATGTTTTACAGTAGTCAAACAAGATGCATATATTATCTATAAAAATGCACAACCTTTGTCGTTTTAATAATAATAATAATAATAATACGATGATGAATAACACAAAATAAATAATACATTATTGACAATGATAATAATAGAATGATCTATTCATCTATATTGGAAAAATGCGATTGTTGAAATAATATCACTAATATCATGAAAGTATTATATAACTATAAATAACCGCACAAATATTAGCGTTACAATGCCTTTAAATTTGGTGGAGGAGCTTAAGTCACACATACAATTGTCCTACACTAATGAGCTTATTTTCTTTAGGGTGACTTATTATGAAAATGCGGCCGTTGCAGCTTGCACTCAGAACACGTTTTGTGACTGAGGAAAACCCCCACGTTACACCAGGCCACTTGTATTGTTTTATAAAAAAAGGATACTGCACTTTTATTAACTTAAATACGTTTGTATATTAGGTATAATATATTGATGAACACCCCCCCCCCCCATGGACACTCGACAAATATATTATACATATTACAAAAATAATAATAATAATCTATTATAATTATTTTATTTCTCAGTTTTTGATCAGGCGATTTGCTTAATTTTTTTTTAAAACCCCCTCCCATTCAAAATTCCTGAACAGCTTTTCTCTGAGGCTCAATGTATTGTATAATCACAAATAATATGTGATGGTGGATTTTTCAAAGGCTTTGAAGGTTACGAAGGTCGTTATTGTTATACAAAATAATATCATGCTAATAAGTAATATTAAATTAATATTAGATAATAATATATTATGTTATGTTACACTAATGGAAGTGATATATTATATTATAATGGAGCTGCCTATCGTATTCTAATAATCATTTTAGTTAATTGTGTACTTGTGAGTATAATTTGGACCACTATGCGTCACAGGACACAGAGCGACCGCATAAAAACAAATCGATCGCTCCGGAAATGTTGAACTTATTATTATAATTATAATATATTATGATAATTGTAAAAAAATAAATATATTTATTAAATATTGATTTGTATCTATTATTTACAGTGGAACGATGTACCAAATGAATAAGTCAATAAGAGAGCATTTTTAAGAGGTTATCGGAAATGCTGCTATTACACAGAAACAGTGTCGATAAGTCTTTAATAACTATTATATTGTGTATATAGTACAAACTATATTATTATTTATTATGCGCAGTCAGTTGTATACGTTTGTACTTGGTTTGATGAGGACACGAATGCCATTTTAAACAATTCTCGTTGCAACGACAGATTGATCATTGATAATAATATAAATGAGACATTTGTTTTCTGTTTATCTACCTAAGCCTATATTATAATATCAGAACACGCCCAAACTTCAACAATGGTAATAGCTGCAAAATTACAATACCTACAAATGCGTATTTGATATTAAGAGTCGGGTGATATTTCGAACTTGGCTCGTATCTATAATATGGTTTACGAAATAGGACAAAACTACTGACGTAATAATAATATACAGAGTGATTCACCAAGCACGGTCACCCCGTTTTCTTTGTCGATAATGCGATTATTAAAATTCTTGAGGATTTTTAGTTAAAGCTAGTGTTCCGCGGAGAAGCAAACTTTTCATTTTCAAATGACAACCCCCTCTTTTCTGCTGTAAATTATTTAGTGGGAGTTTGAGTTATTTAACTTTGTGTAGGTACTATAAGGATAATAGGTCCACGGTAATAGGTTTAGAAGATATGGGGGCTATGGTAATTTGAAAATTGTTGTAGTTTTGGAATTAATATCTATCAACATTAATCATTTGTAAAAATGGTGTAAGTATAAAAAATACTGCCTAGTGCCTACTATTTTTGTAGATACATTATTACATCTAGGGAGGTACTTTAAATTTTTTTAATCCCTTTTATAATAAATTTATTATTCTTTGCATGAACAATTTAATAACTGAGACAGGTACCTAGTAATAGGTATTACTCGTAAAATACAATTATCAGCTAAATAGTTTACAGTAAAAATTGAGGTTCTTGTTTGCAAAACAAAAGTAAGTTGTTATCGCCACAATTGCTTAGTCCTTTGTAAGCAGTACAAAAAATCTTTAGAGTTTTAAAATATTATGTTCCCTTTAAGTAAATTTAGAAATTCCAAAAACTAGAATATGAATAAATTCTCATCCTGTATAATATTTTACTACCTCTTTTTACTCGCACCTGACACCTGTACTATGCGAGGTGTATTGTGTTTTGTGTATATTATTGTAAGCCGCACGGCGGGAATTTCGATAAAATATAAAAATGTGTAATAACTAATAACTATTAGAGCGCATAGCCGCTGAAGCGTTTTAATTTTTGTCGACATGGAAATGGCGTAATAATATGATAATAATATGTAAACAGAAAACACGTGAAAGGTTATCTCACATAATATTACAACCTAAATTGGACGAGTGCGAGTAGTCTAATATTTTATTATGTGTAATATTATTTGGCTCGGACGAAATCTAATATTATAATAATTGACAAACAAAAACAGGATTGAACGTCGATCTCTGTCCTAAAGGTCAACATTCTAAACACAATAATCGAATTCAATCGTACGATGCTTTATCTAATATGTACCTAAACATGATAATATAATAATTATGCATTTCACTAGTGCTTCGACGGAAACACGCGTGTCGCCTATTTATAATATTATCAATCGAAGCTTGTCGTGACAAAATTGGCATTAGAATAACTATTATAGTTAATTATTATTATTATATTATGATACATGAACACACATAATACGATAGGGTTTAGTAACGTTTATACATATAACAATAAAACACGGTAGACGAACGTCATCAAAATGTTAAAATATTTGTTTTTGGATACAGAGTGTAGCGATAAATATATTGTTTTTACAATGATGTGTGTCTGCTTTTGTGGTAGTAAAAATGCTCCGATTTACGACTAATGTATTTTTTATGATAATATGAAAGTGAATCTAGTTGGAATTCAAAATTGAATCTTCCCCGTAATTTCCGAAAGCGTCTGGAAAAACAATAAAAAAAATTTCAAGACAAAAGGGAATGTTTTTGGTATAACTCAAGAACCATAGAGCCTTTGAGCATAGACCCTTATAGACCCTTGCAATTTTCATAAAATATGCATATTTCATAGTAGAATTTCCCATATATGGTGACAGTTTTGAAATATTTTGACTCTTTTTGAGCTATTTAAAACCTTGATACATTTTTCGAATATTGTACATTTTTTTTTTAATTATGAATTAGTAAATAAGATTGAAACAAATTAATACAAGGGTCCTCATGAGTTGCTTTAATAGCAGTTTAAAAGTATTAAAGATACATATTAAGTTCAATTATTTTTTAAATGTATTTAAAGGTCAAATTTTGACAAAATTCATCAAAATCCCGAATATTTACAAATTATTTTTCAGTTAGAAATTCACAAAAGTTTTTCTAATATTAGAAAATATAAGTATTAGTTTAGCTAATATTAGAAATATTGTAATGGTAGATTCACAATAAGTTATTAAAACTTTATCAAAAAAAAAGTTCATTGCATGGACATTATTATTATTTTTTTATGAGCTTTTGATTCAATTTTTTTTACTATATGTATCTGATATTTAAATGTTTTTAATTATTAAATAGTAATAATTTAATTATTTATACACATCAATTTTACGATCACACACCGTCTCCGCTCAGAGTCGTTTTTCGTATGCAGTGATTTATCGTCGAATCAAACACATCCATTACAATGAAATACTCGACAACTACCCACTTGTCCATCTTTTTTTGATATTCATTTACAGGGATAAATTATTTATTTACAATAGTATAGGTATAATCTTATTTTGCCCCACTCATTTAACTATACATTTTATATGTTTTTTTCAATCAGTATTCTATCAGTATATTGTTTAGATATTAATTTTAAACATTTGGTTGTACTTTGTAATAGATTCTGTCTGTTCCGACCGGTCTACATACCGAAAGCCAAAATCCAAATATTAATGTAGAGAAAAAAATTATTCAACTATATGTAATAGTATAAAACCTTAATCTTAATTTATCCCACTCATTCAACTATACATTTGTGTGTTTTTAAAATATTTGATTTTAGGGACTTTGTAATGGATAGTCTTCTCAAACTAGTCTACACACCGAACGCAAACTCCAATAACGAGATTAAAAAAAAAAAAACCATACAACACTAGTCTATATTTTTCTTCTAAATGGAAACTCTATGAATCATAAATATGTTTTCGTTAATAAATGACCATGACAACGAAAACCTTACGAAAAATCGGTCAGAAGCAAAAAGCCCAAAAACATATTATTTATGTTAAAATAATATGATATTTCTTATTGTTCCTATTGGAGTTATTACCATTTACCTATAATCTATAAAGGTAATATAACGTGTACTCCCAAACTAAATGAAAAAATTCAATATTTCACGGTCACACAATAGGCATAATATAATAATATCAAACAACGCTTGCAAGATGTGTTTAGTATTGACTGTAGCCGTACAGTTATACAGTATTATATTTGAATATAAAAGTATAAGACACATATTGCGTAAACCAGAGGTTCTCAAACTTTTTTTCCCCGTAAGTACCACGAAGTGTATAACGGAACAATAATCCATAATGTATCTACTACCAATGACTAAAAATGTAATTATTCAAAATATCAATAGGTACATAATATATAATAGTTTATAAAATAATAATTTACATAGATTTTACCCAAAAAATCAAATAATATATTAGATCCGTTACAAACATTAGCAAAAATCATTATGTATTAATATAGGTACTCCAGGGGGCTCTGCTTCCTTCAAGGTTTTATTTGCGAGCTGAGAGTAGGTAGATATATAACTCTAATATAAAAAATCTGAGTGGAAAACAAAATCTATTGTTTGTTTACTGAGTTTGGTTGCCACAGTAATTTTATTATTTGACAAAACTATTTTACATTTTTTTTTATATAGCCAGTATAGAGATTCCGTATTCATTACCACACGACCTTCTGCGTACAGCGTTGCATAGTTTGAGAACCACTGGTGTAAACCAATAAAACCATACACCTAATGATCAATGACTTATTATTAAAGTATTAAATATTTGTAGTTAAGAGGACGCTACCCCGCATGTGTTGTCTCCGTCTTACACACGTACGACATAGACAAAACGCGTTTAGGCAGTCTGAGTATAACTCGCTCAATTTTGGTTCTAGAGTAAAAATGCCTATTATGAGATTGAATTGTGATAATATTTCTAAGGGCAAGACGCTGCGGTTTTTCCATTATACCCAATATAACGTTCATTATATCGTTTAGAAATAGAAAAAAATTTCACCATTTTTAAAATACCTTTGACTTTTAAAAAATTAAATTGTTTAAAAAAACCGCAGCGTCTTGCCCTTAGAAATATTATCACAATTCAATTTCATAATAGGTATTTCTACTCTAGAACCAAAATTGAGCGAGTTATACTCAGACTGCCTAAACGCGTTTTGTCTATGTCGTACGTGTGTAAGACGGAGACAACACATGCGGGTGTAGCGTCCTCTTAACTCGAAGATCATACGTTCGAAATTCCGTCCAACTCGTAATAATATCAATAACGTTATAATAATATATGTATAATCGTTGAACACATAATATTATATTGTATTGTAATTTTGTAAACCATCATTGTTTAGACGTATTCTGATATGTGAATACAAAAAAAAAATAATGTCTACTTGCCATAACACGATGACAATTTATTCGCGAAAAATATAATAATTTGGTCCGTATGACCGTATCAAGCTGATCGTCGTAAGCACACACACATTATATTATAATAATTAATATAATATTATCATCTACTACAGTTAAGTTGGTTATATGTCTTACACGGCCACTGGTTGGGACTCGGCGATCCTTTACCCTTATCGTCTTGCCATCGGTTAGTGGTCATCGCGTTATAATATTCATATCCAGGACATTCGTCTTGATTGGGTCTGTGAACACGGTAGGCATGTATTATAATGGTATTTTATTACCGAAAATAACAAATAATATATAATATTATCATTCCGTTTGATTAGGAGGTACTTACATGTAGTCTATACACTGGTTGCGGAAAAATCCAAAAGCTTTGTCCAACAATTGTTGTGTAAATGTATCATCGTCTTGGTTGCATGTCCTCCGCGTTTGGTCAAGCACGCACTCTCGGAATCTGTGGTGAGTGCTGAAACAAAACGTATCTCATCTCAAAATAATATAATATCATTATTATTAGGCATATTTGTTTATTTTTTTTTAAGCGCCGGCTAAGGAAAAAAGTGAAAAGTCGTGCATTTACTACTGTACCATCCGAGTCTTCGAATTATGACGACCGGACGTCAAACGACCATATAACATAATATTATATTATTATAATAACAATTTTGAATGAAATAATATTATCTTTTATTATATTATTGGATTAGTATAATTAGACCGTCTGCTCAACTGTTGTCGGTAGTCGATTCGAAGCGCATCTGATAGCTCGAATAGGTAATTTATTCATATTATGCGGCTAGCGTAGTATTATTTTGACGTACCAATTGCACTATGTATATATAATAAAATAATAATTATCGTATGACATCCGAATAAAAATCAAGACTATGACTACGACGTGACATTAAAATAATAATGACAAAATAATGATAAGATAAAAAAAAGTGAAATTAAATGAAAATAAAATAGGCGGGTATAAGTGGATAACGCTCTGCTGTACATTAGGTGTCTAGAGAAGTCACTGTAATAGATGTGTTAAATTTGAATTCAATGATATAAAATCATTGTATAACCTACCTACGAAAAACGAGTCCTAACGAAGACTTTGTGTCAGCCTATAATATTACTAAGTTTATTTTATGATATTATTGTGATTAAAGTAATTTATTATTAGTAATAGAGAAGGTTAATTAATTCATTTTTGCAGAAAAAAAATGCGTTTTAAAAGTTCATAATAATATCCTTTAAAAGTTATATTATTATGGTCTGAATGCGGTTGTTGCATTACACGTTTAACCTACCTACCTACGTTCTATAACATGTACCTACCGACTGACTATAAAGTGATGATGGATTGGGGCTTCTAATTTTCTTTATACCTCTATATATAGATATTTGAATTTCAAAACAATTATTAATCGATATATTGATAAACTTTAAAAACAAAAAAAAAAATAAAAATAACGTCAATTTATTATTATTCCTATATTTAGAGACTTGTCTTATCGATAAGCATGATTAATATTATTTTAATAGGCTTCTATTTATTATGGGGAAATAACGATTTTGCACATTTTATTGAGAGTATATATTTTATTAATGCAATACAAATGGAAAAAATAACTATTATTGACAAGTAGGCATACACAAACCTGACGCGTGTTATGCATTATAATTAATTTTATATTTTTCAGGGGCAGAGCATCTGCAATAACGATACATAAATACATAGTATTATGATCGTGGTCATTTGTATTAATATTATCATAATATTACCTAATAATTTGCTATTACCGGTTAGCTTTTACGATTAACCACTAATACACAAAACAACTTCTACAATACATTTTTGTGCACTCACTTTCACGCCTATATAATATAGTTTTTACCTCAGTTTGTTGGGGGGCACATAATGTTTCACAATATATTATAATGCTTTTATAAACTATATATATATTTCTCTTGGACAACGACTTTGAAATTACAATTTGGCTGATCCTATAATGTCTTATATAATTCTGGATATATACTAAACGCCCCACATAAAAATATATACTTAATACATTTAATACCTATATTTTAGATGATTTTTCATCTTTCCTGCGAAAGTTACAAAACCGTTGTTGGTATTATACCAATAAAATACGTTTGCATTTTATTTTTATTAGATGTATATATTAGCAAGAGAACTAGAATACCGAATAAACAACGACGACATTCAGAAATAGTCTGTGCGCGGCCACATTATAATATATTATACATATTATTATGTTAATGAAAATGAAAACAAGATTTAGAAAGTCACGGGGCGTTAACATAATATAACCTATGCATTTTTTTTTTTAATTATATGCCTCAGACCAACATTGTCATCATAATTTAGTAAAATATAATATATTATCGGGTTAGTGATAGTGTGCATAACATCACTGCAAGACGGCCTGCATAGTTGTCACCAGACAGTGGCCACACACACGACAGGGACCTCCGGTAAGAGATATATAAACATATCGAGTGCATCATTATCGTGCTTGCTTACTCGCATAATATTATAATATAATGTATAGGCAACAGACATGGGTATGGCCGGAATGCCGTGCTAAGGAGAGGACGAGGGTGGGAGGTATGTGCCACGAAAGGGACAGTTTTACACAGTTACGCAGATGTTGATTTTTTTCAGTAGCATGCTTTCCCATATTATTATTCCTCTCACAAAATTATCAGAAAACAGGGTTCCTAAAAAAGGTTTTAGCAACACGAATGGCTATGAAATAAATTAAAATCATATAGCTGCGTTGTGGTTATATAGGTACAGTAGCGGTACTGGTAGAAGTATGGGAGTAGTTTATTTTTTTTTGTTAACAAGTGCGATGGTAACAGACGGCGGAAACATAGATAACTTACACCAGGCGTGTATATTATATAATAATATATAGAAACCAAATTTGTGGGAGGTTCATAATTAAAAAAAAAAACAATTTTATCGTAATAAACAAATTATTGTTAATTTATCGTCATGAGTTATGAATTATGGTGTTATCATCATATAAATGCGACATCGGTCTTCATAAAAATCATGAATGTCAATGTGGATAATCAATAATGTCTATATGAAACATTTTTTTTGAAAACATTTATGGAGGTTTTAATTCTTCCTCCAAATCTCTGCCACCCCAGTACAACAAGTGTCTGTTATACAAAGTTTAGTGTCATATTATAGCATGTAAAAATACTGTATGCGCAAGTTGATGTAATTATTTTATTATGATTTATGAGTTATGACAAACTTCAGTGACGTAGACAAATATATTAATCAATGGGTAATTTTTCAAATTTGATAATGATTATGATATGTATATACTTAATTAAATATACATCTATAGTATTGTCTATTATTTATCGTTGTTTATTTCTTCGAAAAGATAATGGGCCCCATTGAACATGTTCGTGTAATACGAGTATTAATAATGTAAAAAGCAGAGGATTTATAAAAAGCACCTACTAAAATATTATAACTGAAATATTGATAATATTTGAATATTTCAGTGTCGTCGTTCATGGAAAATATATTAAATATACCTAAATGTATTTATTATAATGATACATAACAACTTTATCTGTTATCATATTAGCCAAAAATCGTAATTAGTTCATCGTTAAAATTATCCAATGTATAAATCAATGGAGATTTTTGTTTAAAATAGTAATATTTTATGTTAGATATTGAGGGAGGGGGAACTATTACCCAACCGCACTTCTAACCACTTCACCGCAAATCGAGTATTTTATTCTGTGTATAATATATAGGTCTGCTGGTTTCCACTTGTTTTCGTGTCTACAAAAACGAACTTCGCCACTTACCAACAAATACTGGGTCCACTGGTCTCGTTCGAAATGAATCCGGCCAAAGATCGATAGTGTTTCCCACAACGCGAATCGTCAAACAGTGTGGTTCGTAAACACGACGCGTGTTTCAAATATTCTGAAAAACGAATACGATATGATAATGTATAAAAGTCGACAGCAAATACTGTAATATATAATATAATTTTAACTTTTTAAATTTGATTTGATTTCTACAAGAAAAAATTATAGGTATACTACTATACTCCACTAAGTCTATACTCATGCTCAGTAATCTAATGATTAGACTCTAATCTATAGTTCATAACAATATCTCTCTAAAAAAAAAAGAGTTTTGTGTATTTTATCTTCTACATGATATTATAATTATAATATAGGGATGTATTGATATATTATTCAAAATAGTTTTGTACGTTTTATTTTCCACATATTTAATTTTTAAATATTTTAGATCACAGATATTGTAAATGTCGATGTGAAAAAAAGGGAGAACATTGGCCAAAGGCCTAAGGGGGCAGACGAGTGAACTGAGCAACAAGCAAAGCCCCCAGTATAATTTAATAAATCTGTGGTAAGTAATAGATAAATCTCAACAATTAATTGGTAAAAAATAAAGTTGTGTTGATACACCAAATATAAAAACATAAAATGCAGTAGGTTATAAAAAATTTTGGCCGAAGATTGATACAATATAGTAGCATCGCAATTTTTGTTGTTACAATGTTTTTTATTATGATTTATTATTTATATAATAGTCGTGCATTTGTTGAAATACACTATGACGATATATATTGCAATATTATTATTTATCACGGATCAACAACCTGTCTGGTATTGAGGCGACGTGCACATTTGATGGACCAGTTCGATAGAGTTTTCAACGGCTTTGTTAAACACTTTCCGTTTGCTCTCCTCGAAACAGTGTTCGGTGTATCGCTTTGTGCAATCGACGAACAGCGTCCAAGTGCTAGAAAATACGAAGACAAAACACCTTATAATATAATATAACAGTTTGGCATAATTAATATATCATTATACGTAATGCGTACTAAACGAAACAAAACGTTTATTATGGTGAGTTTAATAAAACCAAATTTACCGGCATATGTTGTCGATATCCTTAAGATTTCCCGGGTAGATGAAATGAGGATCTTTCACCAGCGGGTCGGCCAGAGCGATACATCGGTTGTACTCTTCTTTACCACAGTTTTGAGCGTATAACATGTGAGCTGCTTCGGCTGGAAACGATAAACAATAATGGGTATTAATGCATAATATTATCAACAAAAATAATTGTATCATCAGCTGAGAGTCGATAAAGATAGTAATTATACACGACTGTTGCAGACGTTCTACGCGTTTGGTAGGCATGATAATATTATGAAAGTTAAGAAAAAATTAAAATAAAAATTCTATAAAAGTGCGTTTGATATATTGGAACCAAATGTTGTACGCTAAATGCTCATACAAGTCATATTCCTTTTTTTATATTTGTTCATTTCTTTAAGGCAAAGTCAGGTCATGCAGCTATACTTTCATATACAAATTGATTTAAATTCATATCATAGATGCAACTTGTTTGACACGTTTATAATGAGTGAACGATACAAATTAAATCAAAATTGAAATCGTAAAAATGAAAAAAGAATCGAAAAAAATATAATTAAAATCAGAAAACAATTGAATCGAATTGTTCCACAATATAATAATAAAATTTATTTTTATAATATTATTTTAAATTGTAATCGGAAAAAAATAACATCAATAAGTGAGATTGAAAAATGTAATTTGGATTTCAATTTTCAAGCACTGGATATTATAATAGTGTATCTACCTACGCACATTAGAATTATTAAAAAACGTGTTAAAAAAGAACTTCAAAATTTAATCTTTAATATTATATTATAATTTATAATCATTGATTTTGATCGGTTTACTTAATGGTTATTATTTGATATTATAAACATGCATTGTGTGTAAAGTATATTTTAAGTTCTATACATTTTCTATTCGCACTAGGTGTATTGATTTTATATGCAATGTTTGGATTTTTTTTTTGAATTCGTTTTGTCTGTATTGAACACGATATTTGCTAAAAGGGTTCCTTAAAAGTTTTATACACCCTAGCTTCTATTGATTAGAAATTTGACACAGCTGGTACTTTTATAGAGGGGGTAAAATAGTGAGTAGTTGGCAGTTTTTTGAAAAGTAACATAATACTAACATTTCGTGTATTTACTACAAATTATTTATTTGATTTGATCAAAAATTATAGAATCACTTTAATTAATGCATTAAATTGTGCCCATCTGGCTATCTATATAACTATTTTTTTGAAGGTTTGATATTGAGACGTTTGAAATTTTTGTCCAAACAATCAAAAACAATAAGGACTTATTTCAAAATGTATTAAAATATTTTATATACAACATTTCCAAATTTGGATTACATTTTCTATTTTTAGTTCTCAGATAGTCCATAAGTCTTAATCATCACTACAAAATTAACTAATTAACCAAGTATATTTTTAATTCTGTATTGATAAAAAGTGTGCATTTTTAAAATAATATTTCTAAAAATTTAATATTGCTAATATTTTAATTATAAGTATTATTAATTGTAAGGTTTGGTATTTTACAGTAATCTGAAAACCTTTTAAATAGTTAACAATAAACTGTCGATTTTCAACGTGACCGTGATGATCAAATTAAATTAGAGTTATACCTACCTACTAAAATGAGTACCTACTACCTACCATAGTATAAGTTCTATTGTTTTATATTCAATGCGAACACTGCACATACAATTGGTGGAAGTACGTGCCGGTTGTGCCCAATTCTAAGCACTTACATAATACATAATATGTATAATATTATAAATATGATATACTGACACGTGCTTTTCAGAGTATGCACCCCTTAACATTTAGGGTTTATCGACCCTTATCAGAATAACCTGTTTCGTTCATTCTTTTGGCACAATTGTTCGGGAAGTGTGAAACTTTCAATTCATCGCCTCAATAAAACGCGTGTATACAATATTTATATAGATGACAGTTGTAAATTATTTTGATTTATTATCGTCAAAATACGAGAGCTCTCGTGGTCTGAACACGCGACCAAACGAGAATACGTAGTCAAATAATACTATACGTCTGTAAACTATATAATATCATGTTATTTTAAACAAACTTGAATGTAATCGTTTGATAAAATATGTTTATAATATTATTTAACGCAATATAATTAAGATGTATCGATGAGTGTATTATAAAAATCGTTTATAAGGTTTAATTGAACGAAACGCGATTTGATTGATATTTTATTAAATACTTTCGTCCAATAATAATATAAATTATTCATCAGAAGTACCTAACAAGATGTACAACAAATTAAAAGTATCTATTTAATAACGAATATAATAATATAATATTACGACTAGTTCCTTTTTTTTTTTTTTAATGATATCGATTCGAGAACAAAACTATAGCATAATAATCATATCGAGAAAATAGATATGAGATAAAATAAAACTTAAAAAGCATAATACAATGTAGGTATATATATAGGTAAATATCTAATGTTTTTTGAAAATAGAAAATTAGTTGATTCGAATGAAAACTTTGTTTTTAGTTCTACGCTACAAGCTTGTAAGTTTACACTAAAGTACGATTATTATAGGCTGGCACGAGCGTTATATTAATACCACGATGAGATATTTAATCTTTTTCGCTCTCGTGGAATTTGTAAATCACCGAAAACACGTCATTGTTTTAAAAATATTTGACAACATACAAAATGTATAGGACACACGCGGCGACGACATTACCGCGACGTAGTAATTAAAAATACTATTAATTTGGAGTTATATAGTTTTATAATTACATGTACACATTACGTTATTTTCTACACAACTGTATATGGCGAAAAAAATTAAATCACTAACGTTTTCGTTGACGTTTTGTCATCCAAAATAAAATGTATTGGGTGGTAAAAAAATAAGGCGGAATGCACAGTTTACAGAACGTCGTCGTCCGAGTGACAACCTTTTGGCAATTATATGTGTATTATTAAAATTATTTTCCGATTAGATTTTCCCTTTTTAGTGCATATTGTGTTATTATAATATACAGTACGTGATTTGCCAAGTATGCTCACTCCCATAATTTTTCAGTGATAATGAATTTTTTTTTCCTGTCAGTATAACCGACAGCAGAGGAGGTGTGGACAATACTATTCCTCGCTATGATGATGAATTTAAGTATATGATAAATTCTGAATTTATAGTATACTATTTAGATACTAATTGCATTTAGTACACATAGTACTAAGATAACGGTGGAAAAAAAGTTATTTGGTAGATAATAGTATTAACTACAGACGAGGATTTGTTTAGATTTTAAGTCTAACCATAAAATAAAAATAAAATTACAATATACCTCGGTTAAATATTAAGTAAGTCTGTTATAGGAAAACAATAATAATAACTAATAACTAATAAGTTTACAATTATTGATTGATTGTCATGACGTCTTCGAATTGACAGTGTTGTTAGAAATGTAATTTGTTCGATCAACTTGTGTTCGATTATGTTTGAATAACTGATAACGTGTCCAAATAATCATACATTTTTTAAATCATTTTTTTTTCTTGATACAGCATCAATTACTAAAGGTTATATTGATTAATAACTAAAATATATTTTACCATATTAAATTTATAAAATTAAAATAATCGACGAACATTATAAATTTCATAAGGCTGAAAAAGTAGGTACCAATATATTTTGTTTTATGCTTTAATAAATTAGACTTCGCTATCAATTTACTATTATAATAAACATTATATTTTATTAAAACATAAAGTATGTTGACTTAATTATTTATCTAACAACTTACTGCTGTTATCTAATCACAATTTATACAATTAGATTATTAAATATTTATTTACTAAAACTCTTTATTCTAACCATTTGAGACATTTTTGGCTTGACTTTGAAAGTACTTTCAAACATTTTTATATTAATGATTTTATGTAAGCACAAAATAAATTAAGAAAATATTAATTTTATTCACGTTTATAAATAATACCTATGTATATAGGTAGGTACATAATAAATAATTATAATAGTATTGAACTCAAATTTCAAGATGTATGTAAATACACGGTCGTACAATAAAACCTTTTAGTAAGTCAATGAACTATTGAGAGGTTAGGTAATAACAAAATTACTGGTAAAGTTATAAAATATGACAGTGAAAGAAAAAAAGCATTTATAACTTATTTACTAATATATTCGCAAATAGAAATTCATCGCACCATCAATAAATAAATTGTGTTGAATTAAAATTGAAATTTGGATCTTAATATACATTTTTATAAGTTTTGTATTTAAAATTGTAATTTTTAGTTATAAAAAATTCATAAAAAAAAAAATGATAAATCAAATAAAAGTTATAATAGGTTAGGTTTTACAACCTTTTTAACCGTTAGAAAGGTTATAAATGTTTAAAAGGGTTCAGGACTTGTGGCTATGACTCATTAGTGTATGCGAAATCGATAAATGATATTTTAGAATTTACTTAAAGAAAACCTAGGACCTAGGTATAAGAAAAATATTGTAAAAATATTAGTAATATTTTACTACAAAATAATGTATTGTTGTCTTAATATGTTAGTATAATACTCTGTTTGTACTTCAATATTTACGGTTCTAAATGCTTTAAATAATTTTATAAATAAACTAGTTTTTTTTCATACGTCTTCAGGCTTCAGTCAATATTTAGCCGTTTTGCATTCGATTCAACGTTATAAAATTAAAATACATAATACATTTATTGTTTTCACTATTATTTTTAAATTACTTTCGAAATACACATTAACCTCGCTGTAGCTAAAATCTAGACAAAATTACTTTTTTTTTGTATATAATGTATATAAAACAACGCGTCATTGGCGTTAAAGCCATCAAGAAAGTAATTCGTTGAAAATAAAATAAAAAAGAATAATGTGTTTACGTGGTGAGCTGGATAATAATGAGGGGTAGAAAGGGGTGCTACCCTATAACAGCAAAACACACGATTTTCATTTATGCCACACGCAATGGTCAATTTGACCTATTTAATGGACCTTTGACTCAACAGTATATTTTATTACTGGAGAAATATGTGTGTGTGTATGTGTAATACAGAAATAAAAACGCGTTTGCCACTATGCGGGTACATTGTTTAATAGACATTTTTACAAAGGGCACATACTTGTTATTAAGGACAGCGAGGCCATCAAGATTATGGTGTAGGATCGCTTCATAATGGCGGGATCGACAAAAGTGACCTGGAAAATAACAAATACAAATAGTAAATTAGGTAAAATAAATCACGTAATAGTATACTTAAATTGTAGGTGAAATAAATTGGAGAAAAAAAACAATCAAAACAACGACCTTGGACTTTTAGGATTGATGTGTATGAAAATATAATACGACAAAAGATAAGATCTTGCAGGTGATTTTAATATCAACATTAGTCGACGTTTTACATCAACGCGAATAGTATTATAATAATAATCACACGAAGGTGAGTACTATAAAATTACCTAGCTATTGGAATTAGAAACACAATTTGTAAGCCATGAGCACATTGATAAAATAAATTTGCGGTGAACTAATGCGAATTCCAAAAGTGTACATTATAGCTAGTTAAGTTCATTTTTTAAAACTTTTTTACCTGACTAGTTAGTTTTTTCTAATTATGTTAAGAATAATGGGCAAGTTAATAAAAATTATTATTGACTAATTTATGTGAAACTTAGTTAATGATCATTTTAATTAACTTGCCTACCATTGGGGCGAATTTAAAGGTTAAAAATAGGGGTGAGAAGTTGAAATAGTCAGCCATAGTTGTTTTTCGTTTGCACAAATGGTGATGTAGTAGGTACTTATATTATCGTTACATGTTTTCCTGTTTGTTCTATACAAAAAGCCAAAATGTGTGCATGCGATTATCATACAAGTATACAATCGCATTAATTATACGAGAATTTATAGCTTTATAGTTTCCATTTATAGAAGAATTTTTGCAGTAAATGTTGTCTAACAGTTAAAATGATCTAACCTATAAAACTAGTATAATACAACATTGTGTTCGATTAATTTTATGTGTAATTTTCATTAAAAATAGTTTCCTGTGGAGTAATATTTTAAGCATTTGGTAGTCATAAATGGAATATAAAATTTAAGTCTTCCCTAGAAATATAATTATAAACTAATAGGTATTCGGACATAAAAACAAATGGTTTGTTTTGAAATTCAATTGTACAAAATAAAATTGTAAAAATTAATTTTCCCGAATATCAGATATCGCGTTATGCGTTTAGTACCTAATACATAGTTCAATACGAAGTTGGATACCATTGAAGTGCTACGAATAAAAAATGTCGAAATAAAAAATATCGATATATACCTATATACTATACAAATATACTTTTTAAGGAACTTTTCAAATTTTAGGTACTTGCCATGGAATATATTGTGCAAAGTAAGAAGTATTTCAAGCACTTAAAGTCAGTCTTATATAATGTACTACATGCAACGCAGTAGTTTGCAGTCACATCACATTTTCCCAAGTGTGTACTCATTATTATAACATAATATATTATTATAATTTAATTGTAACTATATAAATAATAGAGGATAATCCTCGATTTTGGATCCACGGTCGTCGACCATCGCGATTATGAAACTGATATAATGATATCGACCAGATCTTAGCTGAAATTGCTAGCTCGCTTCATGGTTATATTATAGACTATATTATATTGCAGTAATGTAATATACATAAATATAAAATTATAATTTGCACACTTTAATAAAATTCATTGAGCAGCTAAAATACTAACACAACCGAACGTTAATATAACATATACACCCTTAAACTGGCCTCGAAGTGACTCAAACACGTGACACATTCCAACGGGCCAGACAAAACATATTTATGCCACTCTACGAAATCGTGAAACAAAAGAATCACATAAAAATACCAAACATTCTTAAACAACAAGGTCAAACTAAAATATTTAAAAAAATCACCCACCCCTACAACATATTTTAGTAAGCAAGGTTTAATATAATAATTTACGTAAAATCCTCAATCGGAAACTCTAACATTAACCCTGCTTAAGATTAAGGTACCTACTATTAATCTTAATCAGAGACTCTCTGAATTATCCCGTCACATGAGCACAACAAGCATAATAATATGTTATAATATTTTCGTTCATATATATTATATAGCCAATAATTACAATAACCTCATTTCTCATAATTCCGTCATGTGCAAAAGGGTAAACACACAGTCAAGAAGTTGGTATAATATATAGTACTCTCGAACAACGGACCAGACCCTGTCGACTTATCAGCTTCCGAATTTCCGAATCAATCGAAGGTGCAACAACGAGTGTCTTAAAGGTTCCTAACTATTCTTAAGTACATATTCACATTATAAGTAATTATATTATATAGGCACAATATCAAAACAGTAGTAGAACAACGTACACCTAACGCACACATTATACATATACATATATATACGAGAATAACTGTCTGATACACCATAAGAATGGCAGATGGACACCCCATGGGGTTATTGTATGCTTAAAACATTATAGGTATATATTAATATATTATGCTTTATAGGTGCCCTCCTGGCACTCTGCTCATTGTTATTATACGTGTGAATATATCTTACGACTTTCCAATGCACGCCAATAACAATTTCTTATTTCCCATATACTCTCTTCCCTAATGTAATCATATTTTACACGTACATTAAAAATGTATTCTTTTCCATTTCTCATCCACTGCAGTTCTCTCTCTATTTCACCCACCGTCTAACTCAGCCTAAGTGATTTTCATTCTACAACAGTAATATTGAAAGTAAGGATTTTGGTAATTATTTACCACTTCGTTACTTGCACCTTTAATGCCACAGTCTCTGTTGTCTTCTATTATAACTTCAGCACTCGTAATTATATATTATGTTAAATAGTCATATGATTCTTATGTCGAATTCCTGCATCAAAGTTAATGACTTCGATTTCTATTTTCTGTCATGATCCTTTTTCGTTATTACTCATATAATTAGTCATACTTATACATTGAGCATTTGTAAGAAAAAAATATTTATCGATTATTTATGTACTGTATCTCGAATTTATAATCTCCCAGAAACGTGTGTCATCTTAGTATCTTACATTCATTATTGTGTATTATCACGGAGTCCCCCCCCACTATATTATATAACCATATGATTGATTACTACTTGGCCCGTTACATGTGTGTGCCGAAGTAGTCTCGTTCCATCGCTTGCTCCGTGTAACTGCTATCAGGTCATAAGTAAAGTAAAATATATATCATATATCACATTTCATTTAAATTATTCTCCGAATAAGTATGTCTTGTCTATAATTATTAACATTGAAATCCTCTCTTATTTCCCCGTTTCATATTAATCTATCTGTGATACACTGTATCAGAGATAAACAACGTTTTATTATACATAACTATTTAATATAGACTATATTATAATATAGTATAACATATTATATTATCTGCTGCAACAACCGGACAACTCCGAATATTTTTCATTCAATTATTGCAGGATTGGAGTTGTCCGATTCTAAGTTAAAGTGCTACAATCAGACAGCTAGTTTAATTAACATTTTCAGAAATAAATTAGTTATATTAATTATTAGATTTACTTTGTAATAAAAAATGTTGCCGTGTTTGAGTGCTGGACGGACGCTATAACAGAAACTTGGTACTCCAAAACTTAAAAAACCATTTTTTTTTCGTATTAGTAATCAATTTATACAAATTTGAATTTATTACAAGAATCGATGTATTTGATTTAAAGCATTTTGCTAATTGTTTATTTTAATATGATTTGTTAAGACATAACACTAAAGATTTATAGAATTTATTGTCTTATGAAAATGTGAAATACCAAAAGTACCTACTAATGTATATACTAAATGAAGATTTATTAAGAACTTATATTTAAAGTTTTTATTTATTAATGTATTATATTCAATTTGAATTGTATTTTACTATACCCCATTTAAATAACCAACGTTACTTTTATATAAATTATAATAGTGTACTGTACATTGGGTAAGTATTTGATTTTAGTGTTTTTGTAATGAATTAAAATAATCATCATTTACTGTATATTTATAACGTATTTTCGTCAAAAGATCATGATTTGAAATTTAATTTTTATTACATAACTATTTATTATAATGAAAATCGTAATAATTTGTGAGTTAATTAAGAGTTAAAATAATACTTTGTTAACCAAGCCATGTTATCACAGTATGGGGTTAAAATAAATATGCGTTCTATTGTATTTCCTATAGTAACTATACCACGGTTTACAAGGTATACTATGTAATCCTCTAGTACAAAATTATAAATTTTTGTTTCAGAGTGCTGTGCTGACGGACACAATATATTATATACTATATCATAAGCATATTATTCGGAGTCTGCATCGATGTGGTTGACAAAAACATTCAATTTTATTCCATTTTGTTCCGAAAAACAACAGCCAATTATAATGATAAATAAATAAATTGTGTTTTGTACAATATTGTGTTTAAAATATTACATAACATGACAAGTACTACCCTCAGTCAACCTTTATGTACATGTATAACGTAACATATTATCCAGCCAATAATAACCATTTTTTGAAAGAAATCAGATTATTAATAATTATCACATTCGGTCGTGTACTCGACGTGTTCCGTCTGTTACATAATCTTTTTCAAAGACGTTTGACTATGACATTATAATTACTTACCAGACCTTTTTTTTTTTTTCTTAAACAATTATACTATGCCACGTACTATAACTTAATAATATTCAATTGGACCTAGAAAATATATTATTTAATATAGGTATGTTATCATTTATTCCAAACAATATGTAACTATTCATAATTAGTCATTATAGACTATATTATTATTGATTGCTCACGAAGGTATTATAATAATAATTATTTATAATAATGTGTGTAGAGTAAAATAATATATCTGAACCCGGTATTATTTATATTTAAGGCGGCTCTTAGTGGCTATTATTTAAGGGGAACAATTTAGGCAATTTCTAATCTTGTCGTCGCCGCCCGTAATCTATGTGTTAGTCGTAAATGATTATTAGTGTGAAATTCGAAGAAATTCGAACTCGATAACAATAGATTTTATATCGCCCGGCTGCGGGCACACGGTTCAATAGTACACGTACGCGCATG